TGAAGGAGAAGCAAGATGTACGCCATAACTGAAAACATTTCCCCTTTTCATTTCAACACAATCGGTGGCATTTAGATACACTAACTCTTACACTAAAATGTATTTTGTGGGCCAAAGGAATAAGTTAAACATCAGCAATGCTTCGCAGCCCAAATATACTTCCATCTTCAGGACGATGATGGAAGCAGCAAGATAAACCTATAGCAGACTACAACCCAGAAGACAGCCGTAACAACCTCAAATCATACTTAAATATCATAATAATATTATATCCAATACTATACAAGGGAAAAGTAAATTTATCTCTCCGAAAGTATTTCCGTCCATCTAATAGTCCCATGTGCGTATTTGTAACGGAGAAAGCATGTCAGTTACTTTGCGTTCACTGCGCATCTCCGACAGAACGGAGGAACACGAAGAATACGAAATCATTCCATGGAAGAAGAAAAAATTAAATTAAAAATGGCCGTTCTTCAACACCATGTCTAACAGTACAATGAAGGTCTACTTCAGGAACATTCCACTTATCGAATCTACTAATTAATCATCTATTATTCTACGGCGTGTAGTGTGAGCTACTGTCAGCATCGTTAAATAACCACAAATGAACAGGGTCGCATCATAAACAAAAGTAGTTCCTGAGGGTAACCGGAGTCGTGAGCAAACCTGAAGGAATTAAAGCGACTTGAAACGGTGAAAAATTCCGACAGTGAGCTTGTTTTTTCTCAGCAGCAAATGATTTTCGACTGTATGCTCCTTGAAGATGAAATGGGAGTCTCCAATGGACAATCTTGACTTCAGAATGGATAAGCCGTACGTCAATTCCAGATCTCCGTACAATCTTTTCATTTGTCATCAAAATCAGAAATGTTTAATGATAACGACAATACCTGCATCAACAGAAACATTGTTAATATCTGTTGAGGAGCCCTTCCCATTTTATGACGTAGACCAAAACACGTTTGTTAACACGTTCAGTTTCCAGCTATTAATATTTACGAACAAAATAGCGTATTAAAGTAAAATTGCCTTGGGTAAAATTTCTGCCTCGTCTCATTTTCCACCTTTAAGTGACTTCTATAATTTTGTACGCTACGTTCCCAATCAAATCTAAGTGGCCGTGATCCTGTAGCTGTGCGATGCGTTCCCTACCTCGCGTCTCCCCTCCACCTGTTCCCAAGATACGGACATGCGCAAATGACGTGGCGTTAGAGCAACATTTGTGACCAGCTCGTAACAGTAGCGGCTTGAGTTCTGACAAAGCCAGGCTAAATCGTGTTTCAGTTTTGGACAGCTGTCCAATCGCTTTTCCCATTTTCGGACTTGTGAACACCCACCGTGTCTGTTGGATTCACAAACTTCTTAGTTTAAACCTGTCAGCATACCTGGACTACGATATTTCTTGAGTTAATAGTTTCACTCCAGCAGTGTCCCAAGTGGCCAACGCCTATTCTGAACCACATCATTGGTGGGATTTGCAGTGGAATTAGATTCTTTGTTGCGTAACGTCCCACGTTCTCTGTTTGTCACCATCGGCGGAATTCAACTGCGTCATTGGTCGTGGAGGTGAAAGTTTCCAACACAACCATCACCTAAAATGCCTTCCTTCCGTTCAACATAAAGCTTGCATACAGAAACCAACTTCATTAAAGTGAGAACTTCCCGAGAAAGCAGGAGTCGCTTTGTTTGTCAAGAAATTCCCGCGTCGTACGAAGACAATACCATGTCCGCAAACGGGTCGCCATTAATCCATGTGAATTTATACCTGATTATTTATAAACAAGTCTGGTCACTGAAATCGTGAAGCGACCTAATTCTGCCGGACAGTGAGCATAAATTCACGATACTCTTTTATTAACGATCAGTTTTTAAGACTTTCTCGCTTTCTGAACTTCGTGTCAACATCTCGCATAAGGTAGGTAAAAAAATACAAAACTGTAGTCGGAAAACGCAGTGGGAAAGCATCGCTCGAGATACCAAGGTACTGATGAGAGGACAACATTAAAGAGTCAATAAGGCGTTCTTCGCCAACGTTAAACACGTAAAGAGCGTCCAAAAATGGATCTTACGGAAACACGGTGAGAGGGTGAGAACTGATTTAATTTGCTTCAGGATAGGGTCTGGTGGCAGGATTTTGTGAACACTATAATGAACCTTTGGATTTCATGAAAAGCGGGGAGTTTCTTGACTAGCTGAGCATATATCAGCTTCTCAAGAACTCCGCTCCATTGATTTGTTTAGCTGCGTAGATAGTTAATTTATAAAACCCTGCAAAATTGGTAAACTGGAATATCCTCTTTAAACACGGGAAAAAATACAGAAAGTACTAGAAGTACGAGGTTCGATCGAAAAGTTTCAAGACTGCGCCTTATTTTTTTAAAAAAAAACCGTACACTTATCTCAGGTATTAAATTCATCCATCACCCTCGAAGTAGTTCCCCTGGGAGTGAACACAACGATCCCAGCGCCGCTGCCAAGCCTGGAAGCATCCCTGGAAAGCTTTCTTTGTCAGCCTGTCAAGCACCATCTGCAATTCTGCCTGAATCTCTTCTATCGTCTCAAATCTCCATCCCTTTAGCTGAATTTTCATCTTTGGGAAGATGAAGAAGTCACACGGAGCTTAGAAAGGAAGCTGGGAGCCTATCCCAACAATGTCGCATAAGTCGTTGATGGTACGACGTCGATCTTCGTAACTTTTTCGGGCGTTGTGCTCGAAGATGGTCGTCCAGAACGCTCGTCATCATCGACAGAGGTTCGGCCGGCCCTTTTTAAAACGTGAATGCCACACAAAAGTTTGCGGACTCCCCAAATGTTTGCTTTAGCATTTCATAGGTTTCCGTAGCGGTTTTGGCGAGTCTTTGGCAAAATTTGATGCACACGCCATTCCGAAATCGCAGGAGGGTCGGTGTAATGCACTACCAAAACGCCCGTAACTAAGAAACAAATGCTAATTCGATGATGCCGGCTGGCACACTGATTCACTATGAATGTAGGCCGCACCCCCTAGCGGCAGAACCTCGTACTACATCCGGTTCGCCCTCTATTGACACAGTCATAGTTAAGGACATCAATTCAAATTAAACTGTAAATATTTATTTTCCCTTTGCAGAATATTGTTACTGACTGAGATAATGTCCTGTGTCTCATGTGAATTAAAAATCACCATTAATTTATATTGTCTGAAACGTTTCTTTATATTTGGTGCAAGCATCACTCAGATAAAATAACGATTACTTGTTCATAGAGGTTTTAATTATCACAGAAATATTCCACACTATTACAACTCTAAATTAATACTGAGTCAAATTTATTATCAATAATAAAATTAGAACCGTATGAATAATATTAAAAAATTGTTTACTTTCACAGCCCATCTCTTTCCCGATATCGTTCGACGTCTTCTGGACATTGTCCCAGTTGATACGCTTTGTATCCTTAAATACAATTAAAAGTTTGTTGTCGAAACGGAACATATGTGCTGGTCGGCTTATCGTCGTAACTAGCAAAGACTGGCGCACGAACCGACAAGCTCCAGACAAAGCCAAACAAGATTTGTGGTCTCTGTCCTTGATTTATGGAATTGGATCGCCGGCTTTTTAATCTGTTATCAGAGTTCAAATCTGTCAGACTGGTCTGGTCTACGTCGGTATGATCGCGCCCTTACCGTGTTCAGAAAGAGGTCACCACCAATCCAGATAAATTCAGTCCATACCATTATATGCATTTTAATTCGTGCCTTACAACCAGTACCCATAATACTTATTGATTTCATTCTCTTAATAATATTTGGTAAATAAGCGAGGACGAAAATGTCTTGGAATGCGACAGACTCCTACAAGCATCGCTTCGTTTTCAAAAGTATCACGTATGTACGTATTGTTAATGTACTACAAATGCCCCCATCTTTATGCGTGTGTGTGGGGGTTCTACCGAGAGGAATTTTAAAGTACAATCGCGTCTCTATTCTACACAGTAGGGCATTCAACTTTGAGACACACAGCGAGTGATTAACGTGCTAAAATCAAAAGTTGCGACCATAATTTCATCTGCAACATTAACAATAACCACCTAGGGAGGACGTTTTTTTTTTTGCATATTTTAACGAAACGTTCCCCGTCTCTTGTGTGAGTGTTTTCCTTTACTGCTCCAACTACTTATTTCATTTCTCTCTGCTCGGCTAGAATACTGAGACACGCAAAACCCATACAAACATCTAACGACGCATAACCTACGATTTAAACAAAATTCGATTCCTCGAGTGATTAACGTTACACACAATCAGTATCCACGTCGCATAATGGATTCCAACTATAACGTGTACAAGTCCAGAGACCAGGAGAAAAGCCCTGCTAGGAATTCGATATACGCGCATGCGCGACATTTCGCGGTGAGTGACGACTGATCCTAAAAGCATTCGTTCCACAACCACTGAACGAACAACAGACGACAGGCTTTCATGTGTTCTAATGGGTACAGCTTTAAGATTACCTCACAGTGGCACAGCGATTTAATCTAGAAT